GAGCGGTGTGAGTGCGGTACTGTCGCGAAAGAAACAGCGGGAAGCACCTGAGTCAAGCGTGAAGGTGTGCAAGGCCTCAGCAGGCGCAGTACCAGAGAGAGAAGACTCACTAGCACCTAGAGCAGCAGACTCACCAGCACCTAGGGCAGCAGCCTCACCAGCACCTAGAGCAGGAGTCTCTATACCTGGGTCGGGCAGCATACACAGGTAACAGTCACCCTCAGCACTAACAGTCAAAGCATACATGGAAGCAAGGATAGCATCATAATCAAGAGCAAAGATATCCACATTCTGCCTAAGCAGATCTGCCCAGCGAGGGAGCTCAGTCGCGTCGGGAAACTCTGCGCGAAAGGTGTCGTCAAGACGGGAGAAGCAGCGGTGCTGGGTGTGAAACTTCCTGCATGTCTGACCAGAGCGGTCACCTGTGCGAATGACATACGGGCAGCGACCACTACCCCCAGACGCCCCACGCTGAGCAAACCACTCACGAAGCTCCTGGGGCGAAGGGGTCTCATGCTGACGCTGCTGCTGCTGCCTCTGACCACCGCCAAAGCCTCCCCTCTGACTGGAACCACCTTGGCCGCCACCACTGCCGCCTCCCCCACTCCCACCGCCGCCACCACTGCCGCCGCCACCACTCCCACTGCCGCCACCACCGCCTCCACCTACGCCTCCACTCCCACCACCACTCCCTCCGCCACCACCGCCACCTCCACCGCCTCCACCACCCCCACCACCGCCTCCACCGCTGCCACCCCCACCGCCCCTGCCTCCCCTGCCCCTGCCGCTGCGGCGCCTCCCACTAGGGGCAGACGCAGCTCCTACCTCCTCAGCACGAAGGTAGTCAACAGCTGCAGCAGAGGCGACGGAGGTGACCAGGGGGGAGGGCGAACACCCCTCAAAGAAGGGAGTGCGAGGAGTGCCACGAGAAGCGCCTACAGCGACTATGCTAGTCTCAGCTGCTAGGAGGTGCTTCTCAAGCAGGTCGACAGTGAGTTCGGTGGGGTCAAGGGCTAGAAGGAGGTCCCTGACAGCGCTAAGAGAGTCAGGGAGGCGGGTGACTATGAAGTAGAGAGTGATGTACATGGGAGGAGGGTTCTTGGTGAGAAACTCGACGGGAAGCGCAGCGCGGTAGCGAGTGTCACTAGTGCGAAGGTGAGTGACGAGGTCGGCTACTGTGGCAAAGGCGGACAGATCTGGGAACAGGTAGGGCAGGAGAAGGCGGCCTAGAGCAGCAGTGGACGGGGAGAAGTAACGAGCAACTACAGCGTCGTACAGGGCTCTAGCTGTCTTGTGCTGGCCAAAGTGAGCGCGTTCGGCTAAAGGCAGGTGGCTGCGAACGGCTAGGCGAGCAGCAGCGTCACGGGTAAGCCACTGTGAGCGAGTCGCACTGTCAGCTGTGGCGGCAGGGGCGAGAGAGGCGCCAGACGTGAGGTCAAACAGTGAAACACCGTCCTTGGAATCGCTCAGTAAGTACAGCTGTAAGTCGTCGAGCCACGCATCGAACTCTATCGGGCGGCCCTCCGGATCGAAAGTGAGGACACTGAGCGTGGCCATAGCGGGCAGAGCAGTCGGGCGCGCTAGCAGCAGGGCAGCACGCAGGCAGGGCAAAGCAGGGCGGCAGCCAGCAGGGCAGGGCGACGCGGTGGCGAGCGCTCTCAGGCAAGGCGGCGCGGCGGCTAGCTGCGCAAGGGCAGGGCAGGGCGGCGCGGCGGTGAGCGACGCGCGGGCAAGGCGGCTCGGCGGCGAGCAGTGCGCGGGCTAGGCGGCTCGGCGGCGGGCGGCGTGCGGGCAAGGCAGTGCGCGCGGCGGCGGGCGGCACGCGGGCAGGGCAGGGCGCGCTGCAGCGGGCGGCGCGCGGGCAGAGCAGGGCGCGCGGCGGCAGGCGGCGCGCGGGCAGGGCAGGGCGCGCGGCGGCGAGCTGCGCGCGGGCAGAGCAGGGCGCGCGGCGGCGAGCGGCGCGCGGGCAGGGCGACGCGGCTCGGCGGCGGGCGGCGCGCGGGCAAGGCAGGGCGCGCGGCGGAGGGCGGCGCGCGGGCAGGGCAGGGCGCGCTGCGGCGGGCGGCGCGCGGGCAGAGCAGGGCGCGCGGCAGCGGGCGGCGCGCGGGCATGGCAAGGCGCTTCAGCTGGCAGCGCGCGGGCAAGGCGGCACGGCGCGGCGGCGGGCAGCTCGCGGGCAGGGCAGGGCAGGGCGTGCGCAGGCAGCGCGACGCAGGGCAGGGCAAGGCAGCGCGGCGCTAACACGACGGCGCGACGGGTGGGGTAGCGCGACTTTGTGGGCCCTAAAAAAACGGTCCTAGGCTAGGACCTGCTCTGAAACCATGTCAAAAGTACGAACGAGGATGAATGAACTAGCAGCAAGATGGGTACAAGTAGCAAACCCTAATTGGGTTGTACCCCATATGGGCTACCCCACTATAGCCTACACAATAAGCAGCATATAAGTTTGACATCTGTATCACCCAAGGCTATCATAATAGAGGTTACAAGGCTTTTATAATAAACCCCAATACATGTTGAAGCTTTAGCTAGCTCCCAATAGCCTTGGAGGTGTCAATCTTCTTGAAGGAGTTGATAGAATGCTTTGAGGAAATTGTGTAGGAGAGCTTGTGAGAGAGCCTACAATGACTTAGTGAGAGAATCTCGTTTCCAGTTGATTAGTTGGAGTGGGAGGTGAAGAATGAGCTTGCTAGCTCAAACCCCCTCCAAAGGCTTGGAGCATATGTGGCAATTAGATTGAGTTGGGAAACCCAAGTCTCAGTTTTAGTAGGATTTGAGTTTTAGATTGATTAGGGCTGCGTTCTGCAGGCGCATCAGCTCTGATGCGCCTGAGGCTCGGCCTGATCCGCACATTGAGAAATTGAGGTTCGGAAATTGCGATTTGGAAATTGAGAAATTGAGGCTCGGACATTTAGAATTGAGGTTTGGAAAATCTGACGAAATTGCATTGAGGTCAGGAAATTGGACATTCGGGTTTGTTTTGCTTCGGCAGCCATGCGCTTATCGCGAACCTTGATAACCTGTCGGCAGGTTATCATGGAAAAATCCTGGAACCATGGAAGAACGCATCAATGTACATTGATGAGGGCTGATGCGCCTGCAGAACGCAGCCGTTGGCCCAAATTGCACAAGTTTTAAAAAGATGACGAGAGGGAGTTTTACTGGTTTGGGTTTTGGCGAGTGTTTCCGATTTCGTGAAATTTGTTTTTTTCGCCAAACCTAGCCAGCCCCGCGTTTTTACCCTGGTGGGTGTGTCAGACTTCGAAAGTCTCAAATTGCAGTTGCGCTACTTTTCAAAGCTTGCACAGCCCACTTCGTCAAGTTTTAAAAACTTGACCCGCGCGGTCCGCAATTTGGGCCGCGGGCTTAGAAGCGCAGCTGCAATTTGGGACTTTCGAGGTCTGACACACCCACCAGTGTAGAAACGAGGGGCTGGCTGGGTTTGACGAAAAAATTGATTTTCACGAAATCAGAAACACTCGCTGTTAAGATTAGGTAGTTGGGGCTTAGGATGGTATCGAGAGGGAGAGGAGATTGGTCAAAAGAGGGCTTTCATTATGGAGTTGGGAGTACAAATAGGAAGGAGAGGAAGGGGAAAGGGTACACCACCAGCAGTTGGTATCTAATAACTAATCTAGTACACTAGCTAACTGTAGGCAGTTATAAGCTATGCAAATACAATTCAACACACCCCCGTAACTGTCTACGGCTTTAGCTAGTGGTGTCTGGCACCAGGTCGCCTGGAGAGCGGTTGTTGTAGCTGGGATAGGCACAGAAACAGCGGTGGTTGAGCGGCAGCACCTGTGAACACCAGAACGGAGCAGGAGTAGGAGCAAGGCTGGGATAACCGGAGGGCGAAGTATGCTGGTCGCTCGCCATCTATGAGCAAACACAACTGTTGGTGAGGAGGAGGAAGCTGGTGGTGGTGCACAGGAGGAGAGCAGAGGAGAGGCGGCTGGAGGAGAGGAGATAGGAGGGGCGGCTCGAGGAGAGGAGAGAGGAGGAGGAGATGCGGCTGGAGGGAGGAGAGAGGAGGAGATGGAGAGGCGGATGCTGGAGTGAGGAGAGGAGTGCAGATGAGGCGGTTTGCTGGTCATCCCCACCACCCCCTCATCCCCCCCCCCTCACGACCGTAAACACGGGCGCGAGAGAGAGGGAAGAGAAGGGCCGCGGGCTGGTGCTGGATAGTACCTCCCGCCACACCCTCATCCCCCCTCACCCCCACCCCCCCCCCACGGTGAAGCCGCGGCAGGGAGGGGGGGGGGGGCGCGCGCGCTGCTGCGCCTGGTCGCGCAATGGTGGCGAGCGGGGCGCGCTGGCGACCGTCGCCGGGGCTGGCGCACGCGCTGGTGCTGGCCGCTGGTGCTCGCACTGGCGCGAAGCGCTGGCGTCCGCGCTAGCGTCCTCGCTGGCGTCCGCGCTGGCCAGCAGCATACGCGCTGCCGCCGGTCGCGAGCTGGCCAGCAGCGCGCACGCTGCTGCTTCTCGTCGCATGATGGCGCGTAGCACGCGCTGCTGCCAGGCTGAAACGTGACGGGCAGCAATGCATAAGGGAGCGCGACGAAGGGCCTGCATTGGGGCGTAATGAGGCACGCCATGACAGATCGCGAGTTTGGTGGGCCCATTAAGTACAGGTCCTAGGAGAAACCATGCTCTGATACCATGTTAAGATTAGGTAGTTAAGGCTTAGGACTTAGGCTTAGGATGGTATCGAGAGGGAGAGGAGATTGGTCAAAAGAGGGCTTTCATTATGGAGTTGGGAGTACAAATACGAAGGAGAGGAAGTGGAAAGGGTACACCACCAGCAGTTGGTATCAAATAACTGTTACAATCCCAAGTGGGACTTAGCGAAGGATCGCTCAGGGTTGATCGCAGAGTAGTGTTGCAGCGGAAGTTTGAATCTCAGGTTAGAGTGAATGTAAATGACTGAGTTGATAATAGCATGCATACATTGGGTTTATATAAGAATACAAGGGAATACGAAAAGACCTAGACTAGCCATGTACTCTAAGGGGTGCATTCCCTTATTCCAGCGAATTCAAACCGTGCGGCGCGGGAACCCGTTTCAAACCTGTTCCCGCTCTTTTCACTTCAAATGTTTCTGCCTGCATCGGTCTTGGTCAGACGGTTGCTGCGTCGCTTCGACTCTTCTGACTCCTCGACTTCGTACTCGGTAGAGTCGGCTTCTGCAGCATACAGGAATGCCTACTCATGTAATTTCATATCGTAACAATAACTAATCTAGTACACTAGCTAACTGTAGGAAGTTATAAGGTATGCAAATAAAATTCAACACTCGTTAACACCCAAACCAGCCAAAACCCCTCTCGTCAACTTTTTAAAACTTGTGCAATTTGGGCCAACGGCCTGGCAGTTTGTGATTCGTTGTAAATCCAACATTTCATCTCACTTGGTTGGTTTGGTATTTTGCCAAGCCTCAAAGTTGAGGCTTGGCAAATCCAAACCAGTTTCATCCCAACCCAAGCCTACCCAAGTCCCTCTTTGTCGAGATTTTCTCGACATTGACTTAGGGGTGGTTAGGTTGTTAGGTAGGTGAGTTAGGCAATGCGTTACACCCTCATACTTCTCTCCAAATCTCCGCTACGCTTACATTACAACTACACGCATCGCCTCAGTCCACCACGCACTGGCAGGGGACTGTCGAGTCAACTTCTACAGACCTCTTGAAGCCTCCTGGTGCACCCGCGCATAGGTGTTCCACATATCATCCCTCGCGTTATTCAAGCGGGTCGCGTCGGGACTGCTGCACTGCCGAACCTCCAGTCGCCGCGCGGCTTCGAGGCGTCTCGTTTGTTACGAGAGCTCGGGTTAGGCTCATAGGTACGGCCGTGGCTGCAGCTCAGCGGCTTTTCAACCACATACGCCGCTCACCCACGCACACATGCGGCACCGTGCATTCCGAACCGAACCGCTGCCGTCACATCCCTTGCCCGTTGTATGCCCTGCGCGCATCATCCTGCTGCGTGCGTTGCCAGCTCCTAGCACATCCTAGGTACTTCTAGCACAGCTCATAGTCTCGCTCCCCCTGCTCCTCCCACTCTGGTCTCGCGTCACGTCACGCTCCATTTTCTTGATACCTCTCCCCCAGCTCACCGTGCACGGACTTTCTCGTCCATTTTCTTGCTCCCCCCTTCTCCTCGTCTCCAAAAGCGTAGCAGTAGCTTCTTCACCCCTCGCCCTCTGTCCTCCCCACCGCCCCCTTCTCTCATCCCGGCCTTACCAGTGCCGACTCCTCTACCACCTGGCACAGCCCTTCACGTGAGCACGAGCACCCACCGGGACCTAGAAGCAGCGAGCGGGAGGGCCATGGCAGCAATGGGGAAGCGTGCGCGCGAGGAAGCGTGCGCAGCGGGCGAGGCAGCAATGAGGGCGCTGCAGGAAGTGAGGAGTGAGCTGGCAGCGCTGCAGCGGGAAGTCGCAGCCGTGCGGGAGGAGGCGGTAGTGCAGAGGAGGGACGTGCAGCGGGTGGCGGGCGAGGTGGAGGAGATGAAGAGAGAGCTGGCGGCGGTGAAGGGAGTGATTGGCAGCAACGAGGACGAGAGCCGGGAGATGTGGCACGTGAGTGGCGATGCTGGCTGCTTCTGTCATTTCGTCCTGGCTTTGCACTATACATGCGTGCTCCTTGTTACTCTCCGCACACTCCGTCTCTGCAGAAAATCCTGGCAGCATCGCAGGAGACGGAGCTAGAGCTATGCGGCATTCTCCTCTTACACTTTTGTTCAACGCTTGCACTTTTGTTAAACCCCCTCTCCGCACGTCCCTCTCCGCACGTCCCTCTCCGCAGAAGATCCTGGCAGCATCGCAGGAGGTGGAGCTAGAGCTATGTGGGGAGGCATCGCTGACAGACGCAGTGCTGGCACACGTGGCCGGCATGACCCGCCTCTCCACCCTCGACCTCTCTTCCTCCTCCGGCTTCACCACCCAGGGCCTTCACCACCTCTACGCCCTGCCCAGCCTCACCTTCCTTATTCTCTGCGGCACACCAATGGGCGGCGGGGGCGACGGGGCAGTATCTCTCGACGGCATTGGTGCAGCGAGCAGTCTCGAGACTTTCGTATTGGACAACACGAGTGTGCGCGATAGCGATTTGGAGCCCCTCACTGCGCTCACCTCACTCACTCACCTCTCCCTGGGCAACTGCCACAACCTGACCCCGGCTCTCCTGGCCCATGTGGGCCGGTTGACTGGACTAGAAGAGCTATCCCTGGGCGGGTGTGGCATGGGAGATGAAGTGCTGCCGCTGCTGACCTTCCTGCCCCACCTCAGCTCGCTCGCCATGCCGCGTGGGGTCACCGATGCCGGTCTGCAGCACCTGGCCGCGCTGCCGCTGCTGCAGCAGCTTTCGCTGTGTGGCTGCCAGGACGTCACCTCTGCTGGCATGCTGCATGTGGGGCGCCTCACCAGCCTGCGAGGGCTCTCTCTCCCCTACACCCACGTGACAAACGAAGGCTTGCAGCACCTCACCTCGCTCACCGACCTCGTGTCACTCGTGTTGCCGCCTGGGGTCACGGACGCCGGCATGGTGCATGTGGGGCGGCTCACTGGACTGGAGATGCTGAGTGTGTATCATACGGCGGTGGGGGAGTACGGGCTGCAGCACCTCACGGCGCTCACGCGGCTGGAGTCTCTTGACCTGCCGGATGACACCAGCATTGACCGTGACGAGCTGCTCACACGCGTGGGCTGGCAGGGCAAGAAGAGGGGAGGCTAGGCTAGTGGGGAGGAGCATGGGGTGAGGGAGCAAGAGAGGCAAGGCCATGATCGATGTGAAGGTCAGGTGTATCTGTCGTGTGTGTGAGATGCTGATGCGCTACAGGGTGTTACATACAGGCCCTGTTGGGCAAGGTGAGATGCCATCACTTCTTTTTGAGGTTGAATATATTATTTAGATTATGACTACAAGCGTATGCTAGCAACCAGGAAGGGTTGAATATATAATTTTCTATGCTGACTTTACTGATTGTCTCATCATCACCTTGTCCCTCGTGGCAGCGATGGCGTGTTGTGCCATCGATAAATAAATAAATAAATTGGAACAATGGTAAAATGCACTCCACTGAATGGTCTATGGTGACAAGCAACTTGTCTTTCCCATTTTTGTTTGTAAACACTTGCAACACTGTTGCCCAAGAAATGCTATCCTCGTTTCCTCGTAAAGTGTACTCATCATCGATGGAAGCGCTCTAATCGAGTCGGGAATATTTACTCGCAGATCCCCCCTGGAGTCAACATCAGTCACGAGTACTCCTAGTAATCCTGGCTCTGCAGTACGTCCCAGCCATCCTCTCTTCCATCGCGATAGTCGACGAACGACTGGATTCTGAGCGCGACACATGAAGGTGCGTCCTGGAGTACGATTCACACAGCGAAGGTCGCTGAAGCTGAAGTGAGAATATAACACTCGCTAGCGAGAGATCACGGGAGCACACGAGCGAGCCCTGAGGCTGAAGCTGCGCGCCGAGCGCACGCCGTGCTGCGGGTCTTCAGGCACGGGATGGTCGCAGCGGCTGCGGCGGCCGGGGGAGCCGAGCCGCCACTAGGGCGTGACGCGTTTCTGCGTGTCGCAGTCGTTCGCTGGTGTATCATCGCACAGTGCATCGTCGCACGGTGCATCGTCGCACAGTGGATCGTCGCACAGTGCATCGTCGCACAGTGCATCGTCGCACAGCGCATCGTCGCACAGTGCATCGTCGCACAGCGCATCATCGCACAGTGCATCGTCGCACAGCGCATCGTCGCACAGTGCATCGTCGCACAGCGCATCGTCGCACAGTGTATCATCGACTGGGTCAGCCTCCCTGTGGATATTCCCCCACTCTCTCCTGCTTTTCCCGCTCTGCCTTCCCCTCCCCTCTCCCCGTGTCATTTCCTCCCCTTCCCCTTCCCGTTCCCTCCTGCCTCTCTTCCCTACCGCAGACCCATCGCGTGCTTCCTCTACTCCCCCTGCTGCTGCTCACCTGCTACTGCCCGCGCTGCACGCTGGTGGCGGCGCGCCGAATACAAACAGCAGACTGTGAGTGCGGCTGGGCGGACGGTGGGGCGGTATGGGGCGGTATGGGCAGATTCGACGGTATGGAAAGGCATGGGGCGGTGGGGCGGCGTGAAGGGGTGATGCGAGATTTCTCCTCCTCAGAAGCTACTGTGACTCTCTCGCTCCGTTCCTCAGAAGCGCTCTTGCTTGTCCTGCAATGGTCATTCACACGCCTCGGCCCCCCTTCCCCTTTACTATCTCACCTGCTCTTCCTCCCTTCCTTCCCCTCCCTCCCCTCCCTCCACTCCGTTCCCCTCTCCAATCCCTCACACCCTTCCCCAACCATCCGCACCGCACTCATCTACCGCACAACCCTCGTCCCGTCCCGCCCCTGCGCGCCCACGTGGAATCGTCCCCCCTCCCCCCGGTCCGCGCAGTCAAGGTGTTATCGGCGGTGGTGGCGGCGTGGGGCAGCTTTGAGGACGGCAAGTCGTGGTCGCCCAACAGCGACTGCTCCACCGTGCAGGGCGTCACATGCGACCCCGATGGCTACGTCACCTCCCTGTCAGTGCACCCATGCACGCATGCGCTGAGCCCATGTTACTGCTCCTTCCCGCATGAGAATTCTCAAGATGATTTCGACACGCTCATCAACTTTTAACGTCGCGGCATGCGTCGCGCACAGCATCGTGCTTTCTCTGTGCCATGCCATGCCATGCCATGCGATGAGCAGTGCCGCACCATCACAGCTGCGGCAGCGCACTTCGAAGAAAACGAGTTTGCTTCCCCCCCTCCTCTCCCTCCCCCCCTTCTCCCCATGGCCCGCGGCGCTCCCCTTTAGAGCCACGTCAGGCAACGCGTTTTGGAAGCCCATTCCGGACGTTGTCAGTGGGCTGCAGCACCTCACTTACCTGTGAGTCTCTTGAGTCCTGAGCAAGCAATGTCCACTCGTTGCTCTGTACCACTGTTCCACCCTTCTCCCTCACTCCCTCCTCTCATCCCCTCCCCGTCCCCTCTCCCCACCTTCTCCACAAGCGCAGTACACTACCCTAAACCCCACACCACCTCGGCCCCACGTCCTCCCCTCTCACCCCAACCTCCAACCTCCACCCCCACCCCCCCGGTGAGTCAGAGCCATCACGTCGAGTCATCTGGTGGGGTCGCTGCCAACAGCCATCTTCAACCTGCCACTGCTGCGCGGCATGTGAGTGGTGCTGCACGGCATGTGGGGTCAATGAGCGAGAGGTGTGAGTTGCGATGAGGGCGGATGGGAAGGCGACAGGTGGGAGTGCTGTCATGTCATGTGTGTGCATGCAGTGCGGGTGGGAGGGCGTCCCTAGGGGGTGCTTGCCATGTCAGTAGTGCTGCTGCCATGCCAGCCTGTTGGAGTGGGGCGAAGGCATACACGAGTGGTGGCGAGCAGAGTGCAGGAGCTTCATGCGCCCAACCCAAACCAAGAGTGCAGGAAACACGAGTAAGCTGCAGCAGCAGTGAGCGCTGCCTCGAGTTGCGCCTGCTGTAGCTTCAGATAGAACTCACCCGCTCCTATCAGTATCTACTATCCTCAATAACTCTCGTCCATCCCTATCCCCACCCCGCTGAATAGCCCCATCTGTAATCTATCCGCACCTCTGTCTTCCTCTCCCAACCCAACAGTATCTGTTTCTCTATATCCCTGTTCATCCGTTCTCCTTTCCGCCCTTCCCATGCGTCCATCCATCCCATACACCCTATCCACCCCCATCCACCCCTATCCACCCCCATCCACCCCCATCCACCCCCATCCACCCCCATCCACCCCCATCCCCATCTATCCCATGCATCCACCCCCATCCCCATGTGTGCGCCGTGCATGCAGCAAGCTGACCGTGAATCATCTCAACGGCTCCATACCAGATGACATCAGCAAGCTCTCAGCCCTCACCTACCTGTCAGTACCACGCCTGCCCCACCTACCTGTCAGTACCACGCCTGCCCCACCTACCTGATCCACCCCACGGCTCCTTGACGCTGCCTGCATTCCAGCTCATAAGATCACATCACATGCCTCTGATCAGAGGTACGCCTCTCATCTCCCCCTCTCTCACCTCCCCACACAGCCACCTGTTGCTGCACCCTCAAAATCCCTCTGCTATGCGATGCCTCTGCTCTCTGCCCTCTGCTCCTTCTCTCTCACCCCTCCTCTGCAGGTATCTGGCACAGAACCGCCTGAGTGGGTCGCTGCCCGAGTCCCTGTCAAACCTCAGCCAGCTCGTCTCAGTGTAAAGCTTGCATTGCACCAACACCTGGGCAGGCAGGCCGAGGGGTGTCACTGGGTAGAAATAGGAGGAGAGGGGTGCTGCCTGTGTGTGTCTGGCGGAGGGGTGTCACTGGCATGGGGCATGTCTCATGAGGGTGAGGATAAATGTGGAAAGATGAATGAGAGTGCGTTTCTGCGGTGCAGTGCGGATTGGACTATGCACACAGGGCGTCGTGTGCGTCATGCATGCATGTGTTGTAGGTAGGTCACCACGCAGCAGTGCACCATGCAATAATATTGGATTTTGCGTTCACCAGACTTATCCCATGCATGTCTCTCTCCTTGTTCGCACCACCCAGTATGGCATATAACGCATTCCCTTCCCTGTGCTGCATGCCCTGTGCTGCATGCCCTATGCTGCATGCCCTGTGCACACGTGCAGGAGCCTTGGAATGAACGGGTTCACGGGGAGCATCCCATCCGCCTTGAGCACCATGTCAAACCTCGAGGGCCTGTCAGACCCCTTGCTGCCTCACTCACCTGCACCTGCACGCATCCTTCACTCACTGCACCTGCACACATCCTTCACTTCACTCACTCATAGTGCCATACATACGCTATCTCGTTTTGCCATGCTATGTCGGTCCTCACTGCATGCAATGCAAGGAAGCCGTAACCCCTGTGAAGCTATCTACGCTGTGGTCGTGATGTGATGCCAGCAGACCATCAGTTGACTCTGCAACCGCAACCATATTCCAAATGCGCCTAGGCTTTTGTGGATGCCTCTCAAGCTAATCTCGAAACAAGTCAGAAAACCGATATGGGTCGACGCGACGCATTGACTCCAAGACACTTATTCTTGCATGCATCTGCCCCTGCTCTGCTTCCCGCTCTGCCATGCAGCTACATACACAATAACAACTTTCTTGGCGGTGTTCCTGATTGGCTCTCCACAATCCCAAGCCTAAAGAGCATGTGTGGAGTCACGAGCATGTGTGCAGTCACGAGCATGTGTGCAGTCACGAGCATGTGTGCAGTCACGAGCATGTGTGCAGTCACGAGCATGTGTGCGGTCACGAGCATGTGTGCACTTACTCCTGCTTTAATCCCTACTCTTGGTTTGAGCCGTTCTATTTCTTGAAACGTGCGCTCGCTTTGCACAGCACTCTCCCTTAACTGACTACACCGTTATCAAAATGTGTTGGCCAAACCCTTTCCCCCTCCCCTCGCACGAACCCCTTCCTGGCAGCGACATGCAGCAGAACGCATTGAACGGCACCATTCCGGCCTCTCTCAGTCGCATGACGCAACTCACCAAGCTGTACGTACAGCTAGGTCAAATGCGTCCCCAGCCTCTCTCGCTTGCGTCCTGTTTAGCCTTGCTTGTTGCACGCCAAGGGCGCACCACCCTTGACTTGGTTTGCCTATAAGGCTGGCCTGGAGGGCGGTTGAGTTGGTTGGTACCATGCGTTGCCACAAAGTGGACTCTTGCATTGTGTCATTGCGCCCCCTGTGCCTTTCTCCCATTCCCTATACCTGCTTCGGCCCACTCGTTTTCTCCCTTTGCCTCCCTGCTCAGCAGCACCCTTGCCACTCCACCTACCCATGGCTTCACAGCGCTCTTTGATTGTTTCTGCCTGCCTGCCTGCGTGCCTGCCTGCCTGCCTGCCTGCCTGCCTGCGTGCCTGCTTGCCTGTGTGTGTGCAGCAGCCTAGCGGTGAACTTCATCGAAGGGTCTATTCCAGAGGAGCTAGGCAACCTGGTGAACTTGCAGACGCTGTGAGTTGCGCTGAACCTGGGCGTATTGCTGCATGCGTGATGCTGCAGTCACGTAGGCGCCTGGTTATGTGCCTGGTGGTAGCACTGAGCTACTCATGCTTGCACATGGGTTGGGTGCTAAGCACATGGGTTGGGTGCTAAGCACATGGATTGGGTGCTAAGCACATGGGTTGGGTGCTAAGCACATGGATTGGGTGCTAAGCACATGGATTGGGTGCTAAGCACATGGTTTGGGTGCTAAGCACATGGATTGGGTGCTAAGCACATGGGTTGGGTGCTAAGCACATGGATTGGGTGCTAAGCACATGGATTGGGTGCTAAGCACATGGATTGGGTGCTAAGCACATGGATTGGGTGCTAAGCACATGGATTGGGTGCTAAGCACATTGATTGGGTGCTAAGCACATGGGTTGGGTGCTAAGCACATGGATTGGGTGCTAAGCACATGGATTGGGTGCTAAGCACATGGATTGGGTGCTAAGCACATGGGTTGGGTGCTAAGCACATGGATTGGGTGCTAAGCACATGGATTGGGTGCTAAGCACATGGATTGGGTGCTAAGCACATGGGTTGGGTGCTAAGCACATGGATTGGGTGCTGAGCACATGGATTGGGTGCTAAGCACATGGATTGGGTGCTAAGCACATGGATTGGGTGCTAAGCACATGGGTTGGGTGCTAAGCACATGGATTGGGTGCTAAGCACATGGATTGGGTGCTAAGCACATGGATTGGGTGCTAAGCACATGGATTGGGTGCTAAGCACATTGATTGGGTGCTAAGCACATGGGTTGGGTGCTAAGCACATGGATTGTGTGCTAAGCACATGGATTGGGTGCTAAGCACATGGATTGGGTGCTAAGCACATGGATTGGGTGCTAAGCACATGGATTGGGTGCTAAGCACATGGATTGGGTGCTAAGCACATGGATTGGGTGCTAAGCACATGGATTGGGTGCTAAGCACATGGATTGGGTGCTAAGCACATGGATTGGGTGCTAAGCACATGGATTGGGTGCTAAGCACATGGATTGGGTGCTAAGCACATGGATTGGGTGCTAAGCACATGGATTGGGTGCTAAGCACATGGGTTGGGTGCTAAGCACATGGATTGGGTGCTGAGCACATGGATTGGGTGCTAAGCACATGGATTGGGTGCTAAGCACATGGATTGGGTGCTAAGCACATGGGTTGGGTGCTAAGCACATGGATTGGGTGCTAAGCACATGGATTGGGTGCTAAGCACATGGATTGGGTGCTAAGCACATGGATTGGGTGCTAAGCACATTGATTGGGTGCTAAGCACATGGGTTGGGTGCTAAGCACATGGGTTGGGTGCTAAGCACATGGGTTGGGTGCTAAGCACATGGATTGGGTGCTAAGCACATGGATTGGGTGCTAAGCACATGGATTGTGTGCTAAGCACATGGATTGGGTGCTAAGCACATGGATTGGGTGCTAAGCACATGGATTGGGTGCTAAGCACATGGATTGTGTGCTAAGCACATGGGTTGGGTGCTAAGCACATGGATTGGGTGCTAAGCACATGGATTGGGTGCTAAGCACATGGGTTGGGTGCTAAGCACATGGATTGGGTGCTAAGCACATGGATTGGGTGCTAAGCACATGGATTGGGTGCTAAGCACATGGGTTGGGTGCTAAGCACATGGATTGGGTGCTAAGCACATGGATTGTGTGCTAAGCACATGGGTTGGGTGCTAAGCACATGGGTTGGGTGCTAAGCACATGGATTGGGTGCTAAGCACATGGACTGGGTGCTAAGCACATGGATTGGGTGCTAAGCACATGGATTGTGTGCTAAGCACATGGATTGGGTGCTAAGCACATGGACTGGGTACTAAGCACATGGGTTGGGTGCTAAGCACATGGGTTGGGTGCTAAGCACATGGATTGGGTGCTAAGCACATGGATTGGGTGCTAAGCACATGGGTTGGGTGCTAAGCACATGGATTGGGTGCTAAGCACATGGATTGGGTGCTAAGCACATGGATTGGGTGCTAAGCACATGGATTGGGTGCTAAGCACATGGATTGGGTGCTCAGCACGTGGATTGGGTGCTAAGCACATGGGTTGGGTGCTAAGCACATGGCTTGGGTGCTAAGCACATGGATTGGGTGCTAAGCACATGGATTGGGTGCTAAGCACATGGATTGGGTGCTAAGCACATGGGTTGGGTGCTAAGCACATGGATTGGGTGCTAAGCACATGGATTGGGTGCTAAGCACATGGATTGGGTGCTAAGCACATGGATTGGGTGCTAAGCACATGGGTTGGGTGCTAAGCACATGGATTGGGTGCTAAGCACATGGATTGTGTGCTAAGCACATGGGTTGGGTGCTAAGCACATGGATTGTGTGCTAAGCACATGGATTGGGTGCTAAGCACATGGATTGGGTGCTAAGCACATGGATTGGGTGCTAAGCACATGGATTGTGTGCTAAGCACATGGGTTGGGTGCTAAGCACATGGGTTGGGTGCTAAGCACATGGGTTGGGTGCTAAGCACATGGGTTGGGTGCTAAGCACATGGGTTGGGTGCTAAGCACATGGGTTGGGTGCTAAGCACATGGGTTGGGTGCTAAGCACATGGATTGGGTGCTAAGCACATGGATTGGGTGCTAAGCACATGGATTGGGTGCTAAGCACATGGATTGGGTGCTAAGCACATGGATTGGGTGCTAAGCACATGGGTTGGGTGCTAAGCACATGGCTTGGGTGCTAAGCACATGGATTGGGTGCTAAGCACATGGATTGGGTGCTAAGCACATGGATTGGGTGCTAAGCACATGGATTGGGTGCTAAGCACATGGATTGGGTGCTAAGCACATGGATTGGGTGCTAAGCACATGGACTGGATAGCAAGTACATGTTCGTAAGGGACTTGATCTGCCTCATTGACCAGTAGGGGCAGGTCTAGTGCTGTGGAGGATTCAATTGCGAAGAGGCAGGGTGAGTGAAGGATAGTCGCATTCATCTTAATCCTCTTCCCTAGGCCTCTCCCCCACTCCCTCTCTTTCTCCCTCTGTTTGACCCTTTTTTCCCTTGTGTACACCCTCTCTGCCCTTCCTTTGCCCGCCCCTCTGGCTGTGTGTCAGCATTCTTGAGACCAACTATCTGAGCGGCACCATCCCTGCCTCTCTGGGGGCTCTCACGAATCTCCTTGACTTGTGAGAGCAGACTCATAAACTCGCAATGTGAATGTGGTAGGCCGGATACAATCATGAACAGAGCTCCGTTTGCTCTGCTTGCATGCGTAGGTTTCAGCAGGAGGGACTCTGTATGAAAATAGGAAAAAGGTTTCATGCCACCACTTCCCGATTTTGGTCCCTGCTTCAAGGAGACAGAGCCAATGGTTAGTGACGCTGGCTTTCTTGTGACGTTGGATCGCCTGATGTGTGGCATCTCATGTGTTCTTTTCGACCATGTGGTGGATCACTCGATCGTCTGATTACAAGTTTGTAGCACATGAAACACAGGAAAGATCAGACACACCAGAGCGCAAGAGTCAAAGTGTAGCATGCACAAAAGAATGCCCTAGACTGGGAGTGTTGCTTCCTTCCACATGTGTCTCTCAATGATCACCATTTGAATGCTTGATACAACCAGGCTCTCCTTTCAGCTCCCACTGCCGCTACGTTTCCATGCCATGCGATTGCAGGGAGCTGGCATGGACAGACATCACTGGGACCCTACCCTCCTCTATTGGGACCCTGACTCGTCTTAACATCTTGTGCGGAAGCTGCAACCCATCCATCTAGCTTCTCTTATCTAATGGTTCTTGCCCTGCTGCCTGCTGTTTATGAGTTTTCTCAGAAACATCATGCAGGTCCAATCATCCCCCCTCCATCTTGTGTGCACTTGCATTTTGACGCTTCTTTTGTTTCGCATCAATCTCGCCCACAGTAAGCCCATGCCTGATCAGAAGCGACGTTAAACGGGCGTGTCAAAGGAGCAGATGCAGACTCGGCAATAGCATGTGCTCTCCCTCGTTTCCATAACCTTGAAAAGAACTCCCCGATCATGTCACCAACCAGCAACGATCCACCAACGCCGTTGGTGATTCACCATGTCCCCCACACCACACTGAGAGCGCAGGTACCTGGAGGGCATGGAGCTCACAGGCACGGTCCCCCGATCATTCTCCAACCTTCAAAACCTCGGTTTCTTGTGGGTGCTCCCTGGGCCCTGCCTGCTTGCTGTGCTTTTCAGAGTTCCTGCGCTTCTTACTCTCGCTTCTGTCACATCAGTAAACTTCACTCATGCTGCCTCTGCTGCCTCTGCTGCCCCGCACTCCTAGTAGGCCCGCTCAATTCCGCGTGACGGGAAGTGCTTCCCTGCCCTGCCCTGCCTGCCCTGCACCCACCCCACGCTCCGATATCCAGATATCTGAACAGGAACCACCTCTCTGGCGATGTGTACGGCATCACAAGCAACATGACCAGGCTCGTCACGCTGTGCGTGCATGGGGGCATTGGGATGTGCCATGTGCCATGTGTGTGCCATGTGTGTGCCATGTGTGTGCCATGTGTGTGCCATGTGTGTGCCATGTGCCATGTGTGTGCCATGTGTGTGCTATGTGTGTGCCATGTGTGTGCTATGTGTGTGCCATGTGTGTGCTATGTGTGTGCCATGTGTCTCTGCACCACTCTGTGCCTCTTCCCTCCACACCCCCCCTCACACCCCATTTTCCCACTCCCTCCCAACCCTGGCCCTGCCGTGCCCCACGCCCTCAATCACAGCGACGTGTCAAGCAACCAGTTCACAGGGTGGCTGTTGAGTCGACTCAAAAGACCAGCATCACACACATTCTTCCAACCAAACCCCTCCCCTCTCACAGCGACGTGTCAAGCAACCAGTTCACAGGGCGGCTGCCATCGCCCCCGTCGCCCTACCTGCAGTTCTACTACGCCCACCGCAACTTCTTCTCCCACGGCGCCGTCATACCGCCCAAGGCCAACCGCACCTTCTTTGGCAACGCCTTTGAGAACTGCCTGCTCAACGCGTCCCGGATTACTGGAGACTACCCCGAGCAGAGGAGTGCAGAGGAGTGTGCTGCGTTCTGTGGGCTTGCTGCTGGGGACACCAAGCCCCTGTGCAGCGGGCATGGCGTGTGCTCCTTCAATGCGTCTGTGCAGGAATCAGCATGCACGTGCGATAGCAACTTTGACAACCAGGCTGGCCCCCACTCCTGCACCTACAGCGGTATGCATTAGAGCTTGAGTGCACCGGGTTTGAGTGAATGAATGGAGCACTTCGTCAAGGCAGGCAGATGTCGATAGACACACTGTTTCACAGTTCTCTGTTGATAGAGCAGATCGCTGAAGGCAGATCTCTGTTAATAGAGCTACGGCACACTCGCTGACTGCCTGCTTCTCACAAACAAGTGTACCACTTCCAGCTGCCCACCATGTAGAACTTTCCCAAACTGCGGTCTGGAAGGTATATCCCGTCAATCACCTTATTCTTCCGATTGCACCCATCTGCTTGCCTTGCTGCTGCAGTCCTACCTTCAACCGAGGCGTCACAGACAACACCAGTGGCCGTGGCAGGAGCAGCAGCACAGCTGTTCAACGGCACCATCATCCTCACGCCTCCCACCACCAACACCTCAGGAGCAGCCGCCGTGCACACGCCCATCCGCCTCTTCCATTTCATCGACAGCCCAGGCCCGTGCGGCACGCCCTTTGCCTTCAACGCCTCATTTAGCTTCGCCATGAAGCCTGCAGCAGCCCAGGACATGGGGGGTGATGGGCTGGCGTTTGTTGTCAGTGCAGCCGCACCGCAGGGCGCTGGTGCAGCGGGGGTGGGGCTGGGAGGGGTGGGGAAGCGGAGTGTGGCGGTGGAGTTTGACTCGGTGCTGAGTGTGAAGCACAGCGACCCCAACGACAACCATGTGGGCGTCAATGTGGGCGGCTCACCTGTGTCCCTCGCCTCTGCCACGGCCCCTCTCATCCTCAACGACGCCCACACCAAGCACGCCTGGATCCACTACCACCCCACCAGCGGCGGCACCCTCCGAGTCTACCTCTCCTCCGACCCCGACCAGCCCCCCACCCCCATCTTGCGCGCTCGAGTGTCGCTCTGCTCCATCCTGCAGCCCAGTGCTGCGGAGACCAACTTCTTCTTTGGCTTTGCCGCCTCGACAACGGATAAGGCCCAAGAGAATGTGATCTTGAAGTGGGAGGTCGTGACAGGTGAGCATGCTGCTCTACGGAGCAAGGTGGACGCAAGCAATGAATGACTCTAACCAAGGTAGCTCATAAAATGAGATGGATGTGGGTTGGTGCGGTGGTGCATTGGAACAGCACGTGCGTAACGAATGGCACCTTAGGACTCTTTTGCTGGTACGCTTAAGTCGTTTTCGGTCCCCCCCCCTGCCCTAGAAAGGTGGGCACTGTGCACTGCGCAATGTGCCATGTGCAATGTGCCATGTGCAATGTACCATGTGCCATGTGCAATGCGCAATGTGCCATGTGCTATCTGCATTGTTCGTCTCTTGTCCTCATCATTCAAGAGCACCTTCCCGTCCCCACTCCCAACCAACTGCAGGTTTGCCTCCTCGACTTCCTCCCAACCCGCAAGGTGAGGCCCATCACAGCGCGTCCATCACAGCGCGTCCATCACAGCACGTCCATCACAGCACGTCCATCACAGCACGTCCATCACTGGGACAGTCTAAGCTAAATAGACGGGCAGCCCACCTAGCACCTTCGTTGCTTGAGTGTTGCAGCCTAGATAAACGTCCATTCTGAAGCGGAGCCTCTTTGTCATCTCACCATGGGCCTTCCATCCAACGGGTTTTTGTCGCCGCTACGCACTTGCAAACGCCCTACCGGGCTACCACTACAATGTACCGATATCTGTTTCACTCACACCATCAAATGCCACTTGCTTTCAAACCCCCTGCACTGCACCACCAGACCTGGCGTTGGGGTTTGTGTTGGACGAGGACTCCTTCTCACCGCAGGGCTTCAACTCCTTCCACTACGCCAGCTCGGGATTTGAGCCCGCGCAGGAGAACAGCCCCTCGTGGAATGTCAAGACCTACACCATCTGGCGCTTTTCTGAGTCCATCTGGCCTGTCAAGAACCAAAGGGGCTGCGGTGAGTTGCATGGGGGCAAGGGGATGGTCTCTGTGAGTAGATTATAAACAGCATGATTGGCTATCTGAGACGCGCTGATTTGGGTTAAAAGAGCAGGAAGATCAACGTGACTAGGCACAGAGGGCTATCAACATGTTTGTTGGATAAATTTGAGTATTGTGAGATGGTAAGAAGAAATGCTTTGAGATTTTGCGGCAGCCAGCTGGGTGGAGACCTACAAAAGACAATCTGTGGATTAATAAAAATGATGAAGGAGAAGAAGTTTCCGGCTTAACATTTGGAGTCAGTTTTGCGCTCTTTTCCAGCATAAGAAATACATATGTATATGTATAGCAACAACAACCACAATCATTCTCTTCGTGCTTGTGCTGGCAGCGGACTCATGGGCATACGCAGTAGTGGCGGCGGTGGAGGCAGCCTACGGCATCGCGAGCAACTGGACTCAGCCCCCCGTGCTGTCGGTGGAGCATCTGCGCCTCGCCCTCTCCTCCAACTGCGACGGTGGCTCGCCCACCAAAGGGCTGCAGTTCCTCCTCACTGCCAGTGCACAGGGCAAGGGGCTGCTGGAGGAGACCACATATGCTGCTTCCACCAAGGCAATACGCTCTCTAGGACGCAAAGCAGCTGGAAAGGTAGAGTATTGCGCACTTGAGAATTATCCAGCTGCAAAGTTACGTTCTTCCTGGCCATTTTCTGTCAGACGGACAAGCTTGCATTGCTTGCAATACAGCGTGGGCTCGCCTCTACCCTCTGTAGATTCTTTGGCTCTGCTGTTCTGCTCACCCCTTGTGTTTGCGCATTTGCCGTGCCGCTTCCCTGCATGCAGCCCGTCATCAAGTACTATGGCGTTCAGGGCATCGAGCGCACGGGGTTCTACGGGTGGTTTGGGCTCATGCTGGCAGTGCAGCGCCAGCCTGTCATTGTGCACATCGAGGCGTCCGCACCCTCCTTCCAAGACTACGATGGGGTAAGGCACCCTCCTTCCAAGACTACGATGGGGTAAGGCACCCTCCTTGGAAGGATGATAAGGTAAATAAGCATGGAGATTGGATTGGGCTAAGAAGGCGATTAGGAATGCGTAACAATACTTTTGCTATTCATTGGTATAGCTCAAATGGATTCTAAAATCCCCCCTTAACGTGCCAGCAAGCTTGGCACTCAACGTATCTCTGTCTGAGACTATAGGCTGGGCAAAAGCAAGTGCTGAGCCAGGGCCAGCTCACGACGATCCTGCACAAGTGTTTCTGACCTAGTTTGGGCTTGCCCAAAATTCGTGCGAACCCAGTGGTGCTGCTCGGGCAGTGCAGCATACCCATGAGACGGATATGATGGTCAATGCCCGAACCACAACGTCCAAGCTTTTGTTGTTTTAGTGGCTGGGAACTCTGGCTCAGGGACGGTTGTCCTGATCTTGAGTTGTTTCGCCCTGACCAGCGACGACACATGTTTGTGAAGGTGAAGGGTTTTTTTGCAGAATGCCAGTCGAGTCCCAAGTCCTACGGAGGCTGCACGCTCAAGGAAAAAAATCAAGTCGGTTATATGCTTATAAGCGTTAGAAAATATTTGAAAGTAGTATAGTGTTTTGTGGTGTTGCTGGGGATTAGTAGAGCTCCAAAAACGCCCCCCCCTGCATCTCTTGCTTGCTTGTGTTGGTACTTAGGAAAGAGGAACCCCTAGTGTTGGGTCCTTTTCATTGCTCATGCACTGACAATGCCCCCTTCGTGGGTGAAATCGATTTGCGGGAAGCCGTATTTTTTTGCCCTTCCCTTGGGCAAATCGATTTCATCCCCGAAGGGGGCATTGTCAGTGCATGAGCAATGAAAAGGACCCAACACTAGGGGATCCTCTTCTCTAAGTACCAACACAGGCAACCAAGAGATGCATGGAGGAGCGTTTTTTGGGCTCTGCTAATCCCCAGCAACACCACAAAACACTACACTACTCTCAAATATTTTCTAACCCTTATAAACATATAACCGACTTGATTTTGTTTCTTGGGCGTGCAGCCTCCATAGGACTTGTGACTCGACTGGCATCCTGCAAAAAACACCCCTGCACCTTCACAAACATGTGTCGCCGCTGGTCAGGGCGAAACAGGGGAGCTGACCGTGGGATTGCATTCCGTCTGGCCTGTAAATCACACGTTTGTTGCGTATTGAACACGGTTCCTCTTCCCATCAGAACGACGTATACGCTGACGAGGGTTGTTTCACGGAGCATCTAAACCACGTGGTGCTGGTGGTGGGCTATCTGGTGGCTGGCATCGAATCCGCCAAGCCCGACCTGCCGCCGCCCTTCTGGATCATCCGCAACTCATGGGGCACAGCCTGGGGCGACCAGGGCCACATGCGCATGGACATTCGCAGTGGCGACGGCATCTGCGGCATCAACACTCTCCCGGGACTCGTCCCAATCGTCAGAAGTGAGTCCTCGCATTAATTTCCCATTCTTCCCGGCCGGTGCATTCTTTCGAATCTTGTGTGACGCTTCTCGCGTTCTTTGTCTACACAAGGCCCTCTTACTCCCCTCTCTGCTGCACGTGTTCTCCATGCACCTGCATGTATCCACCTCCTCTCCGTGTCTCTCTATGTGACCCTGTATATCTGCAGATCCGGCCGACCCCTGTGGGCAGCAATCCTACAAGCACGGCGATCTAAACCCCGTCTTCAACCCGTGTGGCCAGTTCAGCTGCATCAAGAAAAAAACTAGCAATCGCTGCACCTGCTCCGATGCCCGCTTCGCTGAAGTCAAGAACACCGATGGCTCGTACACCTGTGCCTATGGTAATTCACACCGGGGCTTTGGTGCTGCACACAAGTGCTTATGGTGTTGTGTGTTCATGCTCGTGGCGATGTTCCTGTGCGTTGGTGGCAGAGCAGAGATCATTGCTGTGCTCATGGCAGCATGTTGTGCATCGTTTCACACCATTGAACGGCCGGTATTTACTCTCATACACTGCCATGGGTCTATTCTTGGCACCACCGCACTGTCCACCTCCGGTCTACTTGCAGCACACCACCGAAAAGCTGGAACTGGCTTTGCTGGAGGGCACTCTCCGCAAGAATGTGCTTGCCCCAACTCGCCTCGCATATCTCGACACCCCCTTGTCTCTGGCCTATGCACATGTTGACCTTTTGCGCACCTTCACACAATTTCCACCCCCATACCGCCCCCACTCTTCTCCCTTCGCCCCCAGTGGACGTGTGTGGGTCCAGCACTCGCAACCCGTGTGTGGTGGGCACGTGTGTGAACGATGGCAGGGGCAGCTACTCCTGTGTGTGCCCCAGGGGCTTCATCCAAGGCACGATGATCGGTGGAGGCTTCTCCTGCACTCCTGGTACGACTGGTGGCTTGGTTGGCCTGTTGCAGCTGCAGCCGTGGCATGGCCATGGATCAACCGCCCACATTCATCACCCGTGGCATGGCCATGGATTTCTCTCGGAGATGCAAGCTGACCCCGGCCAATGCGCATCTCATCAACCACCAATCCTGGCCGTCCTCTGCTGCTGCCCATGATGAACTCGGGCTTCCCTGAAGATCATCACCCCATGCCCTGCATTGTTCCTGGCCCTCCATTGCGCATGTGTATGGCTGGCAGGTCAGGCGCAGGGTACGTACACGGTGGTAGCAGGCAACGTCATGTGCTCGCACATCACAGCTGTCTTCGGCATGCCGCAGCCAGACCTGTTGAAGCAGGTCAGCGCCATAACACACACTTGCACCATTGAAATCTCTCAAAAAAACACCACATACAACAGATGGCACTTTCGGTTTCCCTCATTCTGCCTCCCTCCATCCATTCAGCTTCCCCTCCTTGTACTAGTGGGTGGGGTCACTCCACCACCACCTTTGTTTCTCAACTTTCCAGACCCTTCCTGTAACTCCAATTGCACGGTGCTGTATGTGCAGGGAGTGTCATGCGCCAAGCCTCTGCCCATCGGAAAGACTCTCTCTGTGGTGTTCAACATACGGGACTGCAGTGTCTTCTACAGCACCAATGCTGTACGCGCCTCTCTGCCCCTCTTGTAACTCTCCTACTGCTGCTGCCTACCTGGTGCTTTCTGTGCAATCACAGGCACCATTGTGTTTTTTTTTTCCCCCAGATTTTCTGATTCTTGCAGTAGAACAACGGAGCTGTACAAGCTGCAACGTGTGCGTATGTGTCCTTTCTTCCTTACACGCCTCTTTCTCCCACCTTGTCTCTCAGGGCGACACGTGCACGGGGGTGGCGCGGCAGGTGGAGCTGTGTGGGGCAGCGGCTTCGGATGCGGCGTGTGAGGCGGCATTTCAGGCGCTCAACCCCGCTGTGGACTGCTCCTCCCTCAGGCCCTCCCAGGCCGTGTGCCTCGAGAGGGACCCCGGGGTGGCGAACCGCATTCCGGTGTGTGAGGAGTACTACCGACCGCAGGCAAGCGACACGTGCGAGAGCATTATAGACTCGGCGGCCCCTCCTCTGGGCGCCAAGGAGCTGTACCGCCTCAACCCTGGCATCAACTGCAACCAGCTCATTCCAGCAAAGGAGTACAACTTCCAATGGCCCCTTGAACGCGAGGTATGCTGCACGTTCTAGCACGCCAGTCCAGTTCTGCTGCCTTTTTTCGCATCTCACGTTGCATGTTTTCATCATTGGGGCTTTCTGATAATAGATTTCTGTGTTTTCTTACCCTCCCCCTCCCCCCTGTAAATGCAGATTTGCACCAAGAGCTCTACGTCATTTGCGATTGGGAGCTGTCCAACAGACAACCAGTACTACTTCATGCCCACTGACAACTGCAGTAGCGTTCACGTCCAGCATTTCCATGGCATCAAGGGGTGCTACCGGAAAATCAATGGGTACGAATGTGTAGACAAGATGACACCAGGAACGAAGGTCTGCCTACCGAACTACAATAGTGCTCGGATTGGAGAGTGTGTGTATTGAAATCGAATAAAAGAATGGCACCGATTTCAATAAACTACTGTACTGAGTGTACTCTCCCATACAAAACACTGAGAAAATCAGCACCACTGGGTGGCTTGAGCCTGATTGGTTGGAAACACACTTTTGTGGTGAAGCATATCAAATGAAAAAGGCGAGAAAACTGTTCAAACTGTTATACGGTAGAACTGCGTGAGGCGTGTGATTCCGATGTATCGGTACTGTACCCGAATAAGGGGAAACAGTTCTACAGTATAGAAGAACAAAGTATCTACAGTTGGAGCCAGGGCCCAAAATATCAGGGTAAAACGCCCTGATTACCCTGGGGGCCGGCCGCTTTTTCAGGATTACCCTGCCAAAATCAGGATTCCACGAAAGTTACCCTTTTGCAAAAAGAGCATGTTTTTTTTTACCCTGATAGGATTTATGGTTAGCCTGACAGTATCAGGGTAGGGTGTAGACTACCCTGATACCGAAACTTTTTTACCGCAGATCAGGCCATACTCCGCTTGGTGACAAACTGTACCACACCCACACAAACAAGCGTTGTCGCTTCTTACCACTGGCATAAAACCAAGATTCGTTGTCGGCGACACGCCATGTCGCCTCATTGGTTGTTTCACCCACTGGACTGCCAACGCACCATTCAATCCAGCCACACGTCGCCACACCCACCGCCATCACAGCAGAGTTGGGCGTCAAGGACAGAGCTCATGGACTTTGTGAGTGCTACTTTATTACCGTATGTCATTGTAAATAACTTAGCTCACAAAATAGTAACTGAAACAGGGTTGGCTTAAAACTACCCTGCTCAAATCAGGCTAGTGGTTGATTTACCCTGCTGCAAACAGGGTACGAAAAAATTTACCCTAGGGGTCGGGGTAAGGAGGGGCTGGAACCCTGATTTGTAAGGGTAGGCCTAAACCAATTTTGGGCCCTGGTTGGAGCTAAAATAGTGACCCCCCCCCTTCTAGTTGGGTCTAACTAAAATCCTCCAGTCACTTGGTGTTACGAGTGCAATTGAGCGAGCGAGCGAGAATTGCACTATCGAAGCAAAACAATACAGTTGAGCGAAAAGCATGAGCGAAGTTATATAGCGAAGCTAGCGTGGTAACGGTAATGCGGGAAATTGGGGTGCGTTACGGGCCTAGCGCCGAGGTTTGGGAATTGTGGAGGCGGAGGTCCGGAGCGCGGGTTACCAACCGAACCGTTAGGTTGGGTCGCATCGCGAACAGTGGCGGGAATCGTGGCCGAGGCGAGTGCTGTGAGCGGGTAATGTTTCACTGTGGGTGCCGATGGCGGGAGTGGTCATGTACGCGGTAAGCAGGGGCGAGAAGTAAGGAAAATGAATTCTCCTTACACTACCCCCCTCCCCAAGGAGGCCCTCCTTACGAGAGTGCGTGTACATCTCGAAAGTTTCGGCTGCGCAGATACTCAGTGAGGACAGGGTGATTCTCAATTCTATCCAGGGGGACCCAGTTGTCTTCGGTCGGCGTGCGGTCTTTCCAGCGGATCAGGAATTCGATTCTGCGGGCTCCCCGTGGGTCACGTACTCGGTGGCCCAGTATTTTTTCGGGCGTGATGATTGGTTCTGTTGGCGGTCGTGTCATGCTGGCAGGGCGGTTGCGAGGCAGTTGGCTGGTGGATGGGATATATGGGCGAAGCAGGCTGACGTGGAATGACGGGCTGACGTACAAGTCAGCAGGGAGGAGGAGGTGGGCGGTGACGGGTGTGATCATGTGGCTGACGCGAAATGGCCCGCAATATCGGGAGCGGAGTTTTGGAGTGATGGGTAGGCGGAGGTTTTGAGTGTCGAGTAATACCAGGTCGTTTGGTTGGTAAGTGACGGGGCGGCGGTGGCGGTCGGCGTTGCGCTTAGCGATGACGTTTGATTTTTTTATTGCTTCTGCTGCTCGGGTCCGTGCTGCTTGTAAGATTTCTGCAAACTGTTGCGCGCGTGGCACCGGGTTGTCAGGATCCGGAGTCATGGGTACTGTGGGGTCTTGTCCGTAGTTCAGGTAAAACGGTGACTGTTGGGTCATGGCGGATGGCGAGTTGTTGTACGCGAATTCGATGAGTGGCAGTTGCTGTTCCCAGGTGGTCGGGTCGTCGCACGTGGCTCGGATGAGTTGCTCCATGGTCTGGTTTGTCCGTTCTGTCTGTCCGTCGGTCTCGGGGTGGTACGAAGAACTGAACTGTAGTCGCGTGCCGAATCGCTGCCACAGGTTCCGCCAGAAGTTGCTGGTGAATTTTGTGTCGCGGTCGCTGATAATTGATGCTGGTATCCCGTGCAGTCGAACGACGGTGGAGATGAAGAGGCGGGCTGTTTCTTCGGCTGTGATTGATTTTTTGCAGGCTGCGAAGTGTGCCATTTTCGTCAGCCGATCGACGACGACCAGGATCGCGTCGTTCCCACTTGCTCCAGCCGGTAACCCCGTGACAAACTCCATCGTCACCTGCTGCCAAGCACGCTCTGGGGGTGGTATCGGCTGCAACTGCCCTGCCGGCCGTTTCCGTGATGACTTCATGATTTGGCAGGTGGGACACGATGCCACGTGTCGTTGTACGTCGGTCAGCATTTCGGGCCAGTAGTAATACCGCTGCAGCTGCTGCCGTGTTTTCTCTACTCCGAAATGTCCCGAGGTAACCCCGACGTGTGCCTCCTGTAGTAACAGCTCCCTTAGTAAAGTGTAGCCCGGTACCAAGATGCGGTCGGTGCCGGCTTTTACGTAATAAACCCCCTTTGCTGCTGCGAACTGCTGCGAATTTCCACCTGTGAAGAACGGGTCGGTTTGATAGCCGTGGGTAAATAGTCCTGTTAGTAGTGGGCTGGTCCGGGCGAGTAGTATGGCGTGGATTTGGGCAGTGGGGCAGGTCAGTGCGTCAGCGATGTTCGATGCCCCATTTTTGTAGGTGACCGTGTAGTGGAAGTTTGACTCGAGAAAATCGAGCCAGCGGATCTGTCGTGGGTTGAGGTGGGGCTGTGCGCTGTAGTGATTTGTGGTCTGTCCGTACTATCACGTCTGCGCCGGTCAAGTAGCAGCGCCACACTTTGAACGCATGCACGATCGCGAGCATTTCGCGGTCGTGTATCGGGTAATTCTTCTCGGGCGGATGCAGTTTTCGTGACTCGTATGCGATGGGCTGTAAACCGTTGCCGAAATCCTGCAGCAGTACGGCTCCAATGGCGATGTCGCTTGCGTCTGTAACCACTTCGAATGGGCGGTGTGGGTCGGCAATGCGCAGTACGGGCGGTGAACAAAGAACATTTTTCAGGGCAGAGAAGGCAGCATGCTCTTTCTCCCGCCACGTAAAAGTGACCCCCTTCCGCAGTAAATCCGTCAGCGAGGCAGTTAACCGTGCCATGTCGGGAACGAACCGACGCACATAATTAACGAACCCTAAAAAACTCTGCAGCTCCGTGATGTTCGTCGGAGGGTGCCACGCTTTTCCCGTGTCCAGATTCTTAGGGTCAATCTCAACTCCAGCCTCCGAAATAACGTGCCCCAAAAAATCTAACCTATCCTGGAAGAACTCGCACTTGGAACCCTTGGTCAGTAGTCTGTGCTCGTCTAAAACTTTAAACACTGCTTCCAGATCGGCTAAGTGCTGCTGCTTATCACGACTGTAGACTAGGATGTCGTCGAGGTAAACTATCACGCATTTATCTAAGAGCGGCCTAAACGCCTCGTTCATGGTCATCTGAAATGTCGCCGGTGCGTTGGTCAGCCCGAATGGCATCACGGTGTACTCGAATGACCCGTACCTAGTTTTAAATGCCGTCTTGGCGCAGTCCGATGGTTCGACCCGAATCTGGTGGTAACCTCCCCGTAAATATATTTCGAAAAGACCCGTGCTGTTCGTAGTTGATCTATCAGTTCGTCGGCGCGGGGAATGGGGTATTGCGATTTGACTGTTACCCTGCTCAGTGCTCGGTAGTCGATACACATGCGAAACCCTCCGTCTTTTTTCGGTGTGAACAGTATCGGTGCGGCGAACGGCGATGAGCTCGGTCGGATGAACTTCTTCTCTAACAAGTAATCTAGCTGCTTCCTTAGTTCATCGAGCTCGAGCTGTGTCAGTCGAAACTGTCGCTGTACAGTTGGCTGTGCCCCCGGTTCTAATTCTATTCGGTGATCATGCGCCTGTTGAGGTGGCAGTCCCTCTGGTAAATCGTCAGGAAAAATCCTCCGGGTACTGTTTCAACAGTTCCTGTAGTTCGGGTGGTACCGCTGCCAGCAGTTTCTGAAAATCACTCGGCTGCTCTGCTTCTCCTACCAATGCTATGTCCACCGCGTACACGTCAGCTCCAGCGACGACAGCCGGTTTCATCGTGATGGCGTTGACGTGGACCGTTGAAGACTCGAGCGACTGCCAGCGAGGGAGCTCGACCCAGTTACCGCTACTTCGCACAGTGCAGCTACCCGTCGTCCAGTCGATTCGCGGGTTGTACGGTCGCAGCCAGTCATGTCCCAGTAAAATGTCGTGCCCATCCAGTGTCGTCGCGAGCATTTCTTGTGTAAACCCAAAGTCCCCCCCCCGCAGCGGACTTTTACTCTCTCCACCTACTCCCGTATGGCCAGCGGCGTGCCGTCGACTAAGCGTGCATCTATCTCCGGTAAACACCGACTAAG